GAAGTCAGACGCTTAACCGACTGAGCCACCCAGGCGCCCCGGTAGGATCTAGTGACGTTTGAAGGGAGTCAGGCCAATTTACAGGTTGCAGCTGAGGCCCAGGAGGAAGCACATGGCTTCAGGCCGGCCGCGGGTGCATGTGGGCAGCTCTGCCCTTTCTTGCTGTCACTCCTACTGCTCAGGCCGCGTGCTGCTCCATCACCACTGGCACCTGTGCCCTCCGACATGTCGCTTTGGAATAAGCCTGGAAAGGTGCGGGAAGGACCAGGGATTTCACACCCTGGAGATAGTAGATAAAGTATTAACGCGTATGCTCGTCCGTCAGTAGCACAAATGCTCGGATTAATATGATCGAAGATAATCGGCATTTTGGTGTAGGGTGTGTGGCGTTGGTTTATTCCATAGCGTGTAGAAAGTTCCTTCAAAAAGCTTTTTTATTTTTATTTTAGAGAGAGAGGAACAGAACGCATGTGCGCAGGGAAGGTGCAGAAAGAGAGAGAAAGAGCGAATCCTGAGCAGGCTGCATGCTCAGCACGGAGCCCAACGTAGGGCTCGATCCCATGACCCTGGGATCGTGACTTGAGCCGAAATCAAGAGTCGGACACTCATCCGACTGAGCCACCCAGCGTCCCTCCTTTTGCATAAACTGTTGAGCGTCAGCAGATAGTGGGCAAAGATGTATTTCCCCGGGCCAAGTTGTCCAGCTCCTGCTTTCTAGAAGTGTCGGGCCAGTTCTCCTTGCGGGTGTGTGGGGGTCGTCTCTCATGGGGCCCGGGGGATGCCTGGGGCCGCAGTGAAAGCCGCACCGCGTCTGTCCCAGGGACCAACATGCCTGCGACCTTCGGCCACCTGGCAGGTGGCTATGACGCCCAGTACTACGGCTACCTGTGGAGCGAGGTGTACTCCATGGACATGTTCCACACGCGCTTCAAGCAGGAGGGCGTCCTGAACGGCAAGGTGAGGGAAGGCCGGCCGCTCACTGGGGCGGGGGGCGGGGGCACACCTGCCCGTGGAGGGAGCAGGTGACCTTTCAGCTCTGCTCCCCGCTGCCCAGGACCAGGCTGGGAGAGCCGAGGCACCTGCTGGTCTTTGCCAGGTGCTCGGCCCTGAGGGGCCGCCACCCTAGACCCTCCCGGGGCCGGGTGCTCAGCCGGCTTTCCAGACCTGCGTTTAGCCACCATGGCGGCTTGACCACCCGTGTGGTGGGGCTTGGCCTGGGCCTCACTCCCCATGCAGATGAAGGGCCCCGAGGAGTTTCTGAGGACGGGCTTCCTGCACACGTGTGCTCGCGCACAGTCACACACACGTGCCCACGAATGCACGTGCGCTCGTGCCCACGCGTTCTCTCTGGTGCTGATTCAGGCGCCCGCAAGCCCGCTTGTGGCTGGGAGAGGGGAGGGGAGGGGATGTGCGAGGGCTGATCTGGGTCTACTCCCAGCAGGTCGGCATGGACTACAGGAGCTGCATCCTGAGACCTGGCGGCTCCCAGGACGCCAGCGTCATGCTGAAGCTCTTCCTGGGCCGAGACCCCAAGCAGGACGCCTTCCTCCTGAGCAAAGGGCTGCAGGTGGACAGCAGCGAGCCGCCGGCCTGCTGACACGCCAGGGCTCCGAGGGCCCCAGGCCGCGGGCTCAGCCCGGCCCCAGCTCCCGCCGCCCGGGAAACGGGGTGCTTGCTGCTCAGGGTGGGGGCGGGGGTGGGGCGAGGAGAGGCGCTGTTCGCCCTCCCTGTTCGTTCCCCGCATC